TGTGGCTGCATGTCATCGGAGGCACAGAAATTGTCAATGCAAGCGATTACTAAGCCTACAAAAAACCCCAAACCCCCAAATCGGCTATTTTGTATCCTATTTGCAAACGCGCCCCCCCAAAAGTGTTTCCGGGGAGGTAGCGGTCTGCCCTGGTCCCCGCAGGCACGGAACTGCTTTGGGAAACTGCAGCCTGCAGCGCTTCACAGCGCAGAACTTCTCAAGGGAAACTGAAAGTACCTCCTCGGGCGAAGTCAGCTCTAAACTTGGAACAAAAAGAGCTCTTTATGAGACGGGTTACGTCTTATGCTCCAAGTCGAGGTATTTTTAATGGATAACGGGCCGTTTTTAATACCTCTCACAAGCGAAAACCTGCCACCAAAGTTTTATCTCCCTCATTTCAGAGCAAGATTGAACCTGCAGCTTGTGACCTGACTCCCAGGAGACATCACCACAGAGCCAGCGCGCTAACTCGGCTCCTCTCCTTTACTAACTTCTCCTTTACTAACTCTCCCGCTGTGCTTTAAGAAGTTTTCAGTGTAGCCCCTTGACCTTCCACTGAAGAAACTTGTAAGAACTGTTTGAAGGTTTAAAAATTCCCAAAGTGACCAGAGGGAAAAAAGCCAACCCCACCACCCTGGCACTGAAGTTGAATTTTAAAACAGAAGGCAGCAGTGTGGGGTGAGTTGGTCTGCAGTCACTGTCGCAGCTCCGGCCGTTCCTCCAGCCGCCGCTCTCTTGGGCGCACTTGCAGAAGGATGCGTGCGAGTTTTTGGCCGGAGCAAATCTCTGCTGTCGGGACGGGCTCAGCCCTGGCGTTGGTACTGCTGTTCTCTGCAGGGATGCCTGCCTCAGTGACAAGTGTCTTTGCTGCTGATGGGAGCCCTGAGGTTGCTGTTCTGTGGCGCTCGGGTTTTGTCACCTCCGCGGTCTTCATCCGACTTCCACGGGCTGAAGTTGGGGAAGCTGTACCGGCCATCCCGTTCCTCATCCTCTCTGAGAAGTGCTCGCCCTGCAGTGGCTCCCTTGTGTTTTGTGAAGCGCTGCATGCACGTGGAGCACGCTGGTGTTTTTTTCAAATGGCATGCATTTATCTGATCAAGAGCTATGTAAATTTAGATGCAAACTCTTTTCAGCCCTGCGTGCCTGGCTGCTTGCCTGCTGTGCTCTCCCTGCTGGAAAAGTCTGCGCACCAGCGTTGCTCCAAGGGAAACTTTCAAGTGCGTCATTCCTCTTCGCCCTTATGAAGGTTATTGTGCCTCGGTCCTCATTGCATTACCTCCCTGGGTCAGAAAGGAAAGGTTAGTTTTCCCTCTCTTTTCCCCTTGGCAACTCACGAAGAGTTGCCATCACCGCTTGCTGAAAAGGTCCCTTGCAGGGCCCTTTATGTTTGAGGGTGCTCTGGGAGCACCCCGAGCTCTGCTGGGGCTATTGACTGGCTGAGGCAGCATGGGAACCACCTAAAAAAGGGTCAGGGTAACTATAAATCTGGACCCAGAGGCCTGTGAGACCCATTTGTGTTGCAAACACGGTGGGAATGTTTGTCAGTCACAACAGGAAAAAAAAAGGTGCCCGAGGATGCTCGCTTCAGCCTGAATTTTTCTGTGCGTTTTCTCCCAGCGACTTGAGGGGTGGCTGATTACTCTCTCTTTCCTGCAAAACCAAGAAAGGACCATCAATATTTCATACCGGGAGATGTGGTCAGGATAAACACAGCGACTGCCTTTTTCCCCACAGGCGCGCAGCGAGGCGCTCGCTGTCTCCCAGCTCTCGGTGCTCAGCGCTGGTCCCCGCCTTTGGCCTCTGTGCCAGCTCGGCCGAGCTTTGGGACTGCGCCTAACCCCGCTGTTTTCCTCCCCGCGCATGTTTCACCCCACCCGTGATCGCTGCCTGTTCCAGGTGTGGTCCGACTGTGCCCGACAGCCTGGTGAAGTTACCCCGTTGGCGTTACCTGCCACGTAGCAGCTGACAGCCCGCGGGCCCGGCCGAGTGCAGGATGAGCTACTTTGCTCTGCGCAGGTCTGGAGAAACCCCTTTTCTGGGGCCTTTGAGGTGCCGGGCAGGAAGGACACACACCCTCGTGTGGCTGCTGGATGGGGTGTTGTCTCTAGGGTCCGCCAGCTCCGCTCCCATCCGTCTGCTGGACGCTCTCCCCGCGTGCCGGAGGGGACAAAATACGTCACCTGCGCCTGCAATTCGAACTGCCTTTTTCCATCGGTGGGGGGAGGTGTGACACTCATCGCTCCTGTCCTCATTTCTCAGGGCTTTTCACCTCCTCTGGAAGTGCTGATGGCACTGGAAACGGTGGGTGACATGGCCTTCGGGAACCGGCCCACGAGGAAATGTGTAGTGTCTGGTGGGAGGATAGCGAGATGCTAATGAACCCCCCCGAGGGAGCGGGCTGGGGAGGGTGTTAGGGCTGTGAATGTGCATCCCTGTTTCCCCTTCGGCTTCAGCCCCACTTACAGCGGTGTGAGTGTCATCAGGATCACCCCGAGGTTTGAAAAAGAAATGCAGAAGTGAGCAAAGGCAGATAAATCACCTGCGGTTCAAGCCCGGGTTCTGCTCAGACGCGTTTCCCTGCTTCCCGGGCAGTCTTCCTCTCGTCAAGTGGGGGACTTCTGCGGGGGAATTTCAGCCCACAGCAGTACCCAGTTAGGCAGCTGGGGGCTGATGGGAAGGGATTTTGAGACACCCTGCAGAGCATTTTGGGGCTGTTCAGGAATCCTGGACCCAAGGTGTTCCCATCTGTGTATGTCCCCAGTCACCGGGGTCACTTCAGTGACGGGCTGGAAACCTTGTGCAGGGTACCAGCCTCTCCTTTCTCCATGGAGAAGCATTTGTTGTAGAAAAATCTAAGATAAAAGGGGCTTCTGTTCAGGACTTGACATTTATTTGCCACTTCAAGCCTGCCTGGCTCTAAGTGGGACTTGAGCGCGGTTCTACGCCTCGTGCGTGGTGTGTGCGAATTGCGCCCCTTAGAAACGCCTGGAAATGGATAAAGGGAGGTATTTGTTCTACAGTTCCCCATAGCTCTGTGAAAGCACGCCGAATCTTCGCTTGGTCAGAGCTGCTGCTCTTGCTGTTTATAATTAACTGATTGTTTTCACTGTCAATTTTATTTATTTTCTGATTCAACATGTTGCCTTGTTTCCTGTAAATGCAGCACGAACTGTTGTATTAGCAGACTGGACTTCATAAACAGCCTGCTGAGCCTTTGGCCAGTATCCACCTGTTGTGGATTTTACAAGAGCTCACAGAAGGAATCGAAAGTTTCAATAAACTTTCCCATGGATTTAACCTTCGGGGCTGAATTGATTTGCCTAAGTGATTTACTACTGTCAAGAAACTGGCAGCCAGCGTAAACGTGGGCAGTGGAAAAACGGTTTGAATAACCTTTTCACTCAGATCATCCTCTCTGTTTGAAAGCACGTCATGGAATCTGGTGGCTTTAAAAAAAAACCCAAACATTAAAAATATTCCCCCTGCTTTGTTTTTGTCCCCCGTTTGCAGGGTTTTTGGCATGTTGCTGCTGCCGAGGGAGGCTGCACCGGGGCTGGGAGAACCTCCTTCTTCCGTTCCGTGCGTGGCGGTGTTCTGCTTTGGACAGCATGCTTTGTGTCGCCGCTTCTGCCCGTGGAAGCGGGTGTTCCTGGATACCTTCGGCCTTGCAGGAATCTCCGACGCGTGCCTGGCTTGTAGTCAGCTCGCGCTTTGCAAGGGCTGTCGCAGGCTTAGCCACTTTCTTCCTCCTTTAAAGCGCGTTTCCTGCCTAGAGACGCGCCCCGAAGTTCTGTGGATCGGTTTCCAGAGCGACTGGACGCGCGAGGAACCTGCCTGCGCTCCCTGGCACGTTTGTGTGGCACGGGTCGCGGGTTCTGTGAGAGGCCACGAACCAGCCTGTGCGGAGAGGGAGAACATCGATCGTTTTGTCGGGCTTCGGCTCGTAAATAATGTAAATTCTGACACAAGCGTTGCTCTGTGTTGCACAGAGCTTCCTGTTGCTGCTGCGTGCTGGGGTGAGGCTGGCACCAACCGGGCTGGACGTTCTGAAGAACGTTTCCCTGTCAGTCTTAACTTCCCGCCAAGTCACAGGGCCAGGGCAGCCAACTGAACTGAAATCCCCTTTATGTTTGCCATGCAGCTTCTCCCTCTTAAGGGTTTTTCGTGGAACACCCCTACATTTTAGTGCTGCTGAGGCGGGAGCGGCCTTGCCTGCTTGCCTGCCTGATGGGGAGGCAGAAAGCCTTGAGGTGGCAGGACTCCCCAGCCCACGTAGGTCCACCTCTGGGTGATTTTGGCCCGGCTTCACCGGAATCTGAGCCGACTGGTTTGGGTTTCCTTGGGTAGGTTTGCCAAGTGCCCGATCCCCGTCTGTTCTAGCTGAGCCTGTTGTGTTTCTTGCAGCTTTGGTCACCTTTGTGCTTTGTTTGCTCAGTTCACCCGGCAGGCACAGTGCAGTATTTCACCAGGATGTCTTTGGTTTTGCAGGTAGCTGTATCCAGCTGGGTGGCAGGTGGATCCAAGGGTTACCATGAAGTTTTCAGGACCCCTGGAGAGCCAGAGGTTGTCTCTCCTTCTGGAGACGGCAATCTCTAGGGAAGCTCAAATGTGGAAAGCACATGTGCCGAAAATTCAGCCCGATCAGGTAACGTCTCCACATCATTCATCTCACTAAAGGCATGAGACTATCCTCTGCTCTATTTCTATGGGAACAACTGAAGTTGTTGCATGCGAGGTTGCGTCTGCTCCAGACCTGGGAAACGAGCCTCTCAAGAAAGTGACTCCTTTTTTATTGGAGGGGCTTACCTGGCATTGGGTACGGGGCGCTCGTACAGTGTTAGATCTCTGCTGTTGCTGGTGAGGGCACGTACATGCGTTGCCTTAATTAAGTTAATTTTACAAATTGTGTGGGTAATTAACACACATTTCTAGCAGGCACCGACTCTGCAACAGTTCTTACAAGCAGCCTCATTTTCTTGGAGTGAGTTTGCTAATAACAACGTGCAAGCTCGCGTTGAGGGAAGCCGAGCTGGGCGCTGGCCTGTTCCACTGAGGAATGTTCTCATAGGACCGGAGGAAAATTCAGGATGGAGAGGACTACAGGAGGTCCGAGGTCCAACCTCCCGCTCAGGTTGTGCAGCAGGCCCAGCTGGGAGGTTGGACTGGGTCGCTCACAGCCTCACCCAGCCTGAATCACATTTGTGCTCCTTGCAGAGGGGGCGTCTGTCTCACCCCTGCACTCAGAAACACCAGCAAAGGCCGCAAAGGTCTGTGCAAAACAAAACGTGAAACGCGAGGAGGGTTGTCGTAGAGCTTCTGGTGCTTTGTCGCTGGGTTGGGCAGGAGTAAGCAGGCTGATGGGCTGGGATCCAGCCGTGCTGTTCTTGAGTCACACAAAACGTTCCCGCAAGTATGTCAGCTGGTGTCGGAGCTCATCAGGGCCGTGTTTGTTTTTTCTGACTGGTGAACAAGAAGCTGCTGTCGCTGTGTGGGAACAAATAACGTCCTCGAGGGGCTCAGCATTAGGTTCTGTTAATCCACATTCAGGTTTCCAAATCGGTGACCTGGTTGTTGGAGGCGTTGAGTGTGTCGCAGCTGTAGCTGTCCTTGGGCAGGGACCGTTTAAGACCTGGGTTTATGGCAAACTAGCCTGTTACTCCATGCTGGCGGTGTTGCTGGGGTTGGTGATTACAATGCAGGGAGATAAGATTACAGCACAACAAGATAGGGTAGGGACTCGGCGCGTAACCAAACCATGGTCCCGTGTGAAGATTTCACAGGGACGAGGCGCTTGCGTTCTCGCCGTGGTGAGGTTGGTTCCGGTGGCTCAGAAACCACCGCCTGCGTTAGCCACTCTTCCTGGCAATCCCCGCTGGCAGGATGGCGTTGTCGCCCTCTGAAGATGAGGGTCCCCACGTGTGCCACGGTCGAGGTGTTGCTGCAGCAGACGGCCTACCTCAGCCCTGTCTCTGGTGAAGAGCAGCTGTCCTGCTGCCGGGGACCTCCAGGGAGTCTTCCCGTCGCTGCGGTGGAGGTTGGCCGCCCCTGCGCCTCGGTGCCTGGGAGTGTGTCCTGGCCCTCCGTGCTTGTCACCCAAGGGTTTCTATTCCTGGAATTCCCTCCCCAAAACCGTGCTGTCCTTGTCACCTTTTTCTTTATATTTTCCTACCTGCCAGTTGGGATGTTGTCTTAGCATCTGGGATGCCACAGCGTTAAATGTTTCCTAGCAGTGAATCTGTACACAGGTTGGACTGAAATCTCTGGGTGCGTATGTGCAGAACGTACCAAGGGGAGGTTTAAAAGAGAACGTAAACACAGCTGCCTGCTCCGGGGAAATCCTGACGCGCGGTGCCTCAGCGCAGCGGGTAGCCCTGCGTCTGTATCAGGTATCTCTGTGCCTGCAGTCGTGACACCCGACTTCTCCAGCTGTCGCATCTTCCTCTGCTGCCGCAGCGTTCGTTCTGGCAGTGTTGCGGTCACGGGCGTTCGGTGTGAATTATCCTGTTTTCTGGGATATCTGGAAGGAGGTCATATTCCCTAACATGTACTGCCTTCTTGGGAAAACAGCTGCAGTCGCCTAAAACCTGAGTGGTGCGAAGCTGTTGTTTATTTCCCATGACAGTCAGGAAATCTGCATCCTTCTGTGTATCAGATCTGGCAGCCCCGAGCGTGTGTAACTTTCCACTCCTGGCTGCAGAGGTGGGCTGACTGCAGCAAGGCTTTTAATGAAGTCATCTGCTTTGCAAATGAGAAAACGTGAGCGTGCCTACAAAAAAATCTGACCATCAGAGGGGAGGTGCGTGCACCGTAACTATTCTTTCAGGGCTGAGCTCTCCGTTTTCACTCCTTAGGAGACATTTCTGCTTCTGATGTTTAAAACGGGCACAAACTTCCTTTCTAAATACGCGTCAGAGTTGAAATCTTTGCAGGGAAGAACAAAATTTGTCATTAGGAAACGGGAAGGCTTCACATTTTTAATACAGGATGCAGAATCTGCTGGGGACTTCGGTCCTGATGATCTGCGTGATTTTTCTGGTTGGTTTCTGCTTTTTGTCTGAAAACTCCCATTTCCTACTGGCACGGGGATTTCTTTCGGTTTCTCCCCTCCAGATACAGGCCGCTGGCTCTGTGTTTGCAGTACATCAAAGCCAGGTGCCACAGGGGCTTCTCAGGTGGGCTGAGTCTGGACCCTCCGAGCGCTTCTGACTTGATTGGGTCTCCTGGGTCTTCCTGTTGTTTCTTCCCTCGCTCAGGACATACAATATGCAGGTGATGTTCAGAAGTTTTCACATGATTCAGGCTTGAGAAATCAAACTGTAAAGACTGGTCAGAGGTTGGTTTTTGCATGTTACCGAGTAACTTGGCAGCAGAGAGGTGTGTAAGCCAAGATTTTTACTTCTGTTTTTTCTAGAAGCACAGCATCACTTCTAGAAATTCTCCTTTCTTGCCTGTCTTAGCTCTTTCTTGTCTCGTTTGTTCCCGGTACCTCTTGAGGAATCGGGAAACCTCTGTTTCTTTCCAGTTTTTCCACTGGCTCACCACATGACCTTGGGTTGGTCTTTTAACCTTCAGTCCCCATTCTGTCCCGCGGGCAAGTCAGGGGCTGCCTTCCCATTTTTGTACGGCACCGAGCCCTTCCGCCCCGCTCTGCGGCGATCTCTCTGCCAGTGTCCATGCACGCTGTCGCACGGATGGCAGAGGCCGTGCTGCTCGAGCTCTCTGCTGCACCACTAAACCGTAGGCAAACTCACGAGACGCCGCTTCTGGAAGGTCTCAGGAGAGCACCCCTTGTTCCCAGCCCCTGCGTGTGAGAAGTAGGCATCCGTTCGGGGTCGATCTGGCGGGAAGGAAGCGCTCCCGAGGCCCAGGGAAGGAGGGATTTGGCTGCGGTGTGTGCGGCTGCCCTTTTCAGAAGATGCCCACTCTGGATAAAGGTCACCTGGGGAGCCCGCAGCGGGACCGGGCAGAAACGAAAAGGGGAAAGAGCAAAACATCCCTGTCCGGGACAGCGGGCACTAAAGAAATGAAACGATGGGGTGAGGTGTTTTTCCTAGATGAGGCAGCAGTAAAACTGAGTCATGTTTGAGTTCATAGATATTAACGGTTTTGGATGGCATTTTCCAGGGGCTCAAGGTACTCGTAGACATGGTTTGTATCGCGCTCGTGGTCTGGAGCCCCAGTCACGGCCGCCAGCCCCTGTCTCACGCAGCAAGTGTGCAGCTGACCCCGCGTGGGGTCAGGGACGGCAACGGGACGACTCGGCTGTTGGTAAACGGGAAGCAGGACAACAGCTCTGTGTGCCTCTCGCCCTCGCCATGGCCTCACAGGCAGCTTTCTGACGGCATGCCTAAGAAAGGGGTTTGGGGCGCTGCTCTGGGAGCCGGACAACCGAGATGGTAACCATCAGAGATGCGGGAGGCCTGGGGCCTGTGTGTTTTGTATGGGGCGCCGGGCTGCCCCAGTTACTCCGTGGGCAGAATAACTGACGTCTGTGGATGCTCGCTGTGGAGCAGTGAAGTGACAGACACGGTGCGTGTGGCACTGCCATTTCATTAGTCAGCCGCAGTCCCGGCATGCTGGCTGCCCTCGTGCTGTGTTACCTAAAATACCTGTCAGCAATCTGCCGCAGATGTTTGCTGGCAGCGCTTAAAGGCATGTTCATGGAGAGCGACAGGACGTCTCCTGGTACGGAATCAAGCAAATGACAGCAGGAAGCAGGTTGGTGTGATGTACCCCTGCTTTACGCAGGGCAGAGAGGAGGTGGCATCCCTTCGCTTCCCCATTTGCGTCCCAAGGGCGCTCTGTTAGCTCTCTTGCTTTGCAGGGTGGCTGATGGGATGGGTTTACAGACACTGTTGTGCTCTGAAAAGGTGGGAGTTACCTTTGGTGCACATCTGTAGCGCGGGCCCTGCTCTGATCCCACCTCCCCTCCACAAAATAACCGGTGAGAGAAGTGCCAGGTGGAGGAGACGGGTTGTCCTTCCGTCCTTGGCGGCTCTCAGGGCTGCCTTGGAGCAGCCTGCTGCCGCCGTGTGCCGGAGCTGTCATCACGGGGCTTGGGCCACTTCTCCCCGATTAGAGCTGCCGTGCTCTCCCCGGGGTTAAGTTCTGCAGCGTCGGCTTCGCGGCCACAAAACGAAGTGCTGGCCACGCGCAGACACGGCGGGGGCCGGAGGCGCTGTCTGCAGGGAAGTACCGCCACACCGAAGAGGAACTGCTGCTTTCCAGCCCAAAGGGGCTGTTTCACTTTCAGCCACCGTCGCGCCTCGGGTTTGCTTTTAATTTTCTCCAGGTAAAGAAGAGTGACCTCGCTGGTAATTAATTCTACGGTGCTGCGTTCATTTGTGTAACTAGGATGTGCCTTCCGGGGAGAGGGGTGGTGACGGGCAGATTCGAGCGGGAAGCTCTGCGCCGTGGCAGCAGCAGCAGGGTTTGCGGGTGTGGGGGGACCAGGCCCTACCCCTCCGCCTGCCTCTTGAAGCGGCCCGTGACGAACTTCCCCAGTGCTGACAGGAGGGGCTTTGGATGCATCTGGTCGGTCTGTCTGAGGGGATTCTCCCCCCACCTTGCACTCCTTTATTTGCGGGCAGAGGCTGGAGTGGACAACCGTTTTCCATAATTGATGTTATGCAAAAAAGAGCTCGAGATTCCTCCTTCTCCTTCTCCTCTCCTCTTGCCTTGGTTCTGCTGCGCGTACACCTAGACGTGCCATCACGTGGCAGTTCTCCTTCACGTTAAAGGAATATGACACTCTGTGTGCAGGCTGGGTTTTGTTCGTTTTCACTCTGCGTCTTGCTAGACACACTGTTGGTTTTCAGTGGTTTAGATGAGAAAGGACAGATGCTACCAGGGTTTATGACGCTGGGGCCTTGCCATCTACAGCTCACCCCCAAGTCTGAAATTCTGCCTTTGGCCTCCCACTGCCCGTGGAGGGTGGGCAGATGAAGGACAGATCCAGAGTGGACTGCAGACCGAGAGGCAGCACGGAAAGACGATCTTACCCTTCCCACCCTTGTTGTTTTTAGGAGAAGGCCTAACCTTTTGCTTTGGCAGGCACAGGGAAAGCAGCACCAAGCCTGGATTAGACACTTCCAGGAGCTGCTGAAGCTGATGCCCATTTCTGCCAGGAGCTAGCAGGAACGGGATTTGCTAGGAATAGAAGAGGATGGGAAAAAAAATCGCCCCGTGCCACTGAGGCACAGTCCTGCCTCCCCAGCAAGGACCGACAGATGCCGCTTTTGCCCTCCTCTCGAGCAGGAGGGAACACAGGGGTGACTGAGGCTACTGCCCCGACCGTGCAGCATGGCCCTTGCTGGCTGAGGGCCCAAGGCTGCTCCTGCTGGCTTTGCTGGCAGAGCTGCTGTGTCGGAGGCGGGTTTTTAAAGTCTGGTTCATGTTGCTGGATGGGGGAGCTTCAGGTGGGCTCGTGGCAGGTGAGCTTACCTGCTGGAGTCACCCTGATACTCTGCTTCCAAAATAAGCCGTTAAGCTGCTGGAAACCTTTGAAGCCCACGGTATTGTCCAAGCCTGGCTGTGGCTATAAACCCTGTGTATGGCTTTGTCTCCTTCTGTTTAGAAACAGGCACAGCGAGTAAAGCCGTAAGGAACTTCATCTTGCCTATCCCTCCGTCTTTTTCTGCCCGTTGCAGGTTCGGCTGTGCAGGCCTCACTTTGCCACCGTAGTCTGCTCTGTAAGGACAGCCAGCAGGCAGCGCCGCGCTGCCCGTTTTTCCTCCCACACACGCTCGAGGTCCCTGTCCCGCTCTCCAGAAGATGTTTTAGCAGAGCATTTAATAACGGCCCTGCTGCTCTTTGGGTATTCTTTACGCTCCCACTGCACATTGAACCAGCCTTTCTGGAACGAGCGCGGTGCGTTGCAGACAGCAGGCGTCCTCCCCGTAAACAGCAATAACCGTTTTGGAAAGAAATGTTATTTCCTGTAACTGAGGAAACTTAATTTTCTCTCCTCTCCCGAAAAGCATGGCAGGTGCTTTTTAAAAAGCCCCACTGTAGTTGGGTGGCATCCTGAGGTCCTGACCAAGGCCATCTGGATCAGACACCCGGTCCTGCTGACGCCGGTGCACCGTCGGGGCGTCAGGAGAGACGAGAAGGCAGGACTTTGTTCTCCTCCTCAGAGCAGCTGGCGTGGCACCAAAGGCAGGTTTTGCAGGCATCGCTGTGTTAGCCCAGCCAGAAGAAACTGCTTGGGATTGCACAGCCCCGTGCCTTCCTCGGGGATCCCAGCCACAGCAGCACTGTTAGCGCTGTACTTCTTGGAGGGGGTGGGCTGGCTGCGTTTCGGCGGGACGCGTGCTTGAGCAGCAGTAATAGGCTGCACACCCACTGTCGGAGCCCAGCGTTCGGCTCCAGCCCTGCCACCTTCCTGCCCCTTCCGTTCTGCTCGTGGGGAAGGTGGGGCTCAGCACCCCCCAGGCTGTGAAGCACAAAGATGTTCCCCTGCGAGCAGCGGCGCGAGGCTGGTGTCCATGCGGAGGCCCAGGTGTCATCCCAGTCCTGCCTACAGCTCTCCACTTCCACGCACGTTCTCGACTCCAGGGCAGTCGGCAGACCTGTAACAGGGAGGCACACGGCAGGTGCTTCGGGGGTGGGCATCTCCCGGGCTGTTTACTTTGCATCAACGTTGAGCGTTTTTATTTTCCCAAACCCTGCTCCTTTCCCCCTTCCCGTGTTGCCGCAGCGATGCTTGTTAGCTTTCTTTTCCTCAGTACCTGGCCAGCCGGCATTTCACGAGGTTCCTTTCCCCGAGACCATCGCGGCAGTAGCCAAAAGCACAAGGACCCGGAGCGTAGCAGAGGAACGTTGTGAGGTTTCGTTTCTCCCTCTGCACGCATCCTTGCTAACGGCCCCGACGGTGCCTGTTGGTGTGAGCCCAGACATGCGCTTGGTTGACCTGAAAGGCTCTGGGAGAGCTTTCTGAAGGAAGTCGGGGAGAAAGGTTTTGTGTCAGACTAACGTGCCCGCAGGGTTGAAACGAGCTCTTGTCCAAACGGACCGAGGGGGGTGACTCGGGCCAAACAGTCTAAAAAAACCCCAAACCCAAGCCAAATGGTTTAGGTGAGATTGTACTTGCTTTGCCCCGGTGCACAGCTACGCTACTGCTAAAGGTCTTTTGGAAGCCGTGCGGCATTTTCCTTTTTTAAACATGCACTGAGCTAAAAATATCTCCATGATTTGAAGGAATAATAAACCTTTCTTCTCAAAGCACCAGCTCGGTCCCTCCCTCTCGCGTCTCTCAGGAGCTGCGCACCCGCCTGGCTCCCAGAGCACGTCTGGGTTCGTTCAGCCGGCCGTGTCTGTGTACGTACCTGGTCCTAAGAAGGCTAAAACCCCCGCTAAGCCCCTCCGCGCTAAGCCGGAGATGTGCTACTCCGGTGATGGAGACACCGGAAGGTGTCCTTCCTCTTCTCCCCAGCGGACGGTGACGTTTCTGGGGGATGCCCGAGGTGGCTGTAAGGAAAGCGGGAAGGGGTCAGTAAATGCGAGAACACGGTGGTGATTCAGGCTCTCCCCAGGCCCCCCCTTTCCAAAGGAGACTTGGTTTCCATGCTGAATCACTCCTGCGGAGGTGAAACGTTCGGTCCTCTCTGACTTGCTCAGCCTGCCTGTAAAAGTTTGTTTTTCTCCCCAACAGGATGTAGCCATTTCTCCAAAGCAGAGGGATGAGGTCATTCAGTGGCTGGCCAAGCTCAAATACCAGTTCCACCTTTATCCAGAAACGCTCGCCCTGGCCATCAGCCTCTTGGACAGGTTTTTAGCTGCAGTAAAGGTAAATATTTGCAGATACGGGAACTGAAATCGATTCCGCTGTCTCTGTGTGCAGCCCGAGCAGCAGGGCTGCTGGGAACCGCTTGCTTCCTCCGCTGCTCCCACAGCCTCTTCCTGCGGCACGCAGGCACGGGACAGCACCTGTGCTGCTCCAGGAGCTCCGTTTCGGGCTGCGGGACTGGCAGCACGCCCTGTTGCTGGGCACTTTCGGAGGCAGACTCCTTCTGCCGTAATTTGTCACCCGGTAAAAGCAGCCGTTGCTCCGATGGGAACAGGCGGGTCTCTGGGAGCCCACGCAGGGCTTACATCTGCCAAGAATTATTCTCCCTCTTTCCTCTCTCGGCCCCTTCCCCTCAGGTGAGGCAGGTCGTAGGTCTAACTGCGTATTAGCCGAGGAGAAAAGCAGCACCTTTCCTCTTCAACTGCGTGCTTGCTTCTAGCCTGGAGTGAGTGCTGGATCTGCCTCAGCACGGGCTGCCTAGAGGCTACGCGTT